AAGTATGATCAAATACAATATAAAGACAATTGTATATTATTTTACAATTCAAAATATAAATAAATAATTAATTAATCAAATTAATTCATTAAATACACAAAATAAATTTATACAAGGTGTCCTATTGTAATCTATCACCCTTTTTATTTTTGCAGGGTAAAGTCGAATCAAATATATGTTCAGACAAAAGTGGTTTGGTGTTAAGGAGATCATTTGATGATAATCTTTATTTGACCTTAGATCAATGTCAGAAGGTAATTTCAAGGTCAACTTTATTTTCCTAAATCAAAACCTCCATTTTTTATGTTTTATAATTCCTTGAAAAAAAAACAAACACTTTTTGTTATTTTCAATTTTTTACTATTTAAAACCCTTATTTTTTGAAATATTTTATTTCAAAGCATTAAAGCTGCTAAAACCTTATATTCAAAGTTTGTATACTTCAAAGTTCTAAAGCTTCTAAAATCACTAAAAGTTTTTGTTTTTCTATTCTAAGAACTTGTTAAAACCTAATACAATGTCAAATCTACCACAATCTATCTTCAGAGATTCCCAAATCGTGTATCTGAAATGAGTATCAGGAGCATCTGTTCACAGGTTGTAATTCGTGCAAAACTGTTCAAATAATCAATTTCTGATCGTTCTTTTACTTTCACAATGCGACTCTTATGATTTGGATAATGCCGCTTTGCGTGTTCGATTAGCAAATTCTTCTTTGAAATTCTTTGTTTGTAGAGCCTTGTCACTTTGCTTTCTCGGAGTGTCTGAACAATTGTTCTTCTAATTAAACCGATCTTCTTTCGAAGTAGTAGCATTTTTTTCCACATTGAAAAAATTTTTCTGAGCAATTTTAGAATATGACAGATTATTCGCCATCTGAAATTGTTGATATGATAAGTATTGTAGGTGCTTGTAGGAACAAGTTTAAAGATGCAGAAAGACTGTACGCTCATACATATCCTAATAGACGACATTCAACCCAAGTTACAATTAAACAACTAATTAACAAAGCACAAAGAAGGAATTTGGAGAGAAAACATCGCAAAACTGGTTTGAATAAACTAAAAACATTTGTAACTTTACGTGCTGTTGCAGTGGATCTGTACATTTCTATCAGAAAGATTTAGTGATATCATAGTATTCCAAAGTCGACGGCTAATCGTATTTTAAAAATTAATAAATTTCATCCTTATCATATCAACTTAACACAAGCATTAGCAAGGAGAGATTTCATTCGGCGTGAGAATTTTTGTAATTGGACCGAAAATTAAATAAGGCAAGATCCGTTTTTTTTTCTCATACCTGCTTTTTTCTGATAAAGCCATATTTAATAATTGAGGAAGTGTTAATCGATATAACTGTCATTATTGTTCAGGCGTGAATCCACATCGGCAAAGAAATTAGGAATTTCAAAGACAGTGATCTATTAACGTTTGTGTGGGCAGGTATAATTGGCAATCAAGTCATTGGACCATATTTTTTTTCTGAGCACCTAAATAGACATAATTATTTGAATTTTATTCAAAACAAATTGACCATTCTTTTAGAAAATGTTGATCTTTATACATGATTTCGAATGTGGTTTCAACAAGATGGAGCACCTGCCCACAGGTCGCAATTCGTGCGAAACTGTTACAACAATCAATTTTCAAACCGAGGAATCGGTATAGGTAGTTAGACACATAAATGGCTTTCAAGATCCCCTGATCTGACTCTACTTGATTTTTTTATGAGGGTATGTAAAAGAAAAAGTTTATGCAACTGAACCAACTACTGTAGAGAATATGAAAGAACGTGAGATTCGTGAAGCTTTTAGGAGCATAACATCAGATATTCTTGAAAAAGTGCATGAAAGTGTTTGTCGACGATTACTTTTATGCATGAAGGAAATGGACTTGTTTTTTAACACTTATTATAATAAGCACACACACACGCACACGCACGCACACGCATGCACACACTATTTCCAAAAATGCAAATCAAAATTATTCGCCCTTTTCAGGGCCAAATGATGTGCAAATTCCGATAGTGGACTTCTCCGCGATGCACATTGGGTAATGCTAATGCCGACGGTACCCGAGTCAAAATTTAAAACCTACTATAAACCTCATACATGGTTATTTGTGCCTCTAATAATGTTCCTTGACCTACAAGTTCTATCTTGAAAGTGTTATGTCTTCTTTTGGCCTTTCTTTAATCTTGTTGTCCTAGAAAACCCTTATTTTTATTGATGTTAAATATACAATTCCTACTTTCGTTCTTACAACTCCTACCTCTTTTGAATCTCCAAATCTTATCGAAATTTCTAGCAATAAAAATATTAATATTTAATCTATAATTGAGTTCAATTTCTATTATTTCAGATTAATATAATAAATGTTATAATATAAAATAAATAATAACAAATGAATAGTAAAAATATTTTAAAAAATTAAGTGCAACTCAGTATTATATTTAGTATTATAAATAACTAAAAATTTATTCGAATAAACAAAAAACAATTAAAATTCAAAATTTTATTTAATATTTTATTACATATTTGACCTATAATTCGAAATTATTTAATATTCTATTACCACATTTACTTTATTTGTATTTAATGCATATCTTAATTTCAATAAGCGCAATACATTAATTATGTAATTTACTTAACTGCAAATAGATATGTAAGAGATAAGTGAATATTATTTATATAATATTTGCTTATAGTAGCCTATTTACAGTTAAACAAATTATAATAATTAATATATTGTTTATTGAAATCAAGATCCATACATTAATTGCAAGTAGAGTATATGAGATAATAGATTATTAAGTAATTTTGAATATTTATTTTCTAGAAATACATATTTATAGAACCTGGAGCCTTTTTAGAGGTTCTCAGTAGGTACTCTTTTGAGCTTCCACATGGAAAAAACGGCAATAAGTAACAATTTTTAGTATCAAAGGAGGGCAATAGCCAATGTAATGTTATATCTATATATTGAATTAAAGCTTACATTGGTTCTCCAAATTCGACAAAACTTGTAGGTTTAATCTAGGCTAAAAATTTCGACTCGGGTAATACCTAATCTGAGGTTAGAGTTAGATTAAGATAGATTGTGATAGGTTTGACATTGTATTAGGTTTTTACAAGTTCTTATCTAGAACAGAAAACAAAAACTTTCGATGATTTTAGAAGCTTTAGAGCTTTGATAAGCTCTAAAGCAAATATGTGGTTTTAGCAGTTTTGAAACTTTGAAACTTTGAAATAAAATATCTCAAAAACCAAGGGTTTTGGTAAAAAATTGAAAGTAACAAAAAGTGTTTGTGTTTCTTCAAGGAAATAAAAAACATAATAAAAAATAGATTTAGAAAAATAAAGTTAACTTTGGAATAACTTCTAACCTTGATCCAAGGTCAAATAAAGGTCACTATCAAATGATCTCCTTAATACCAAACAACTTTTGTCTAAACATATTTTTTATTCGATTTTATCTTGCGAAAATAAAAAGGGTGATAGATTAAAATGGGACACCTTGTATAGTAATCAAACGTAAGGTAACCAGACAAATAATGTCAATCAAAGAATTTTAAAAACAATAAATATCTGTCATATAGCAGTAAAAGTGGTTACTGCTTATTTTGTAGATAATTTTGCTAGATAATGTATCATAAATTTTCCAGCTACTACTGTGGAAGAGTATCTCAGCATAAGATATGCAATACATCTACGTATAGTCTGTTTTACGCGACATAGAAATAAATATAACAAACTGCACATCGTCACCTTCTTTTCCACATGCTTGGACGAAAGCTAATCGTTGCATTTAATCCTACAGTAATAATGTGTCATTACAAGATACAGAGATATTTTTGTCTTAACGTTTCTCGCGTTAAATATTTTTACTAGGTGTAACAGAATGGCTTGATACGTGAAATTTGTAACGTGAAAATTGTAAATTAATTTTCTCAAAGTTACTTTGTTCCTATAAATTAATTTTATCAAATTTATTTTATTGTTATTGTTTGGTCTATTTATTTTTATATTATTTTTATATTAGGATAATATATTATTATTCCGCATCGCTAATTGCGCGGAATTTTTAATTTTCTCCATAGCAGAGTGAAAAATATGTGCCAAAGCGCGGTAATTAACTAAAGCATGCAACTTGCCGGATGACGCACAAATGAGCGATTTTTACAATACCTACTAAATGCAAATCTCACGCGACATATAGCCTGCAATAACAGAATTCAACATTTACTTTCCTCGCATAATGTGAACTGTCGCGAAAAGGCGACGGCGTGCGAAAATAAGCAAACACAGTGGGTGAAAAGGGGAAAAAAAAACACGAAATAAACGGGGCAAACCAATGTCACGCTCACCATCATCATCTGATCCAATTGTATGGAACGTTGGGACTTTGACAACTGCGAATGGTGCTGTTGATCAAGGTAGAAACAGCTTTTAGCCGCCGCCAGAGGTATGCTTCCAAAATCACCATTCGTCAAGTTACAGGCATACTGCGTCGCCACATTCCTGACTGTCGATCGATCGCAAACAAACGGGGAAATGAAATTTGTATCGGGACCAATGCAGTTTTGACGAGTTCGATTTTCAATGCTACAGGCATGCCAATAATAATCATCGTATTTATTTGCAACAAATATCATTTGTTTAACAGCTATTATTCGAAACACTAATTGCTCGAGGCAGTTAGGCCCAATAAGGATTAATTCGCGTTACGATTCTGCTAATAATTAGGAACCAAAATCTAATCAATCTTTCAAAAACACAAAACTGTTTGAATTAAAGACGTGAAACCTGAATCAGCAATAAGAAATTGGTGGATTTTATTTAAAAAATCTACTTGGACCTTATTAGGCCTAACTTGGGACTTCGACCCAACATTCAATCTAACCATCAGATCGCCACCTCCAAACCTTAAACTACATAATTTTATCTAGAATCTATCATTTTTAAGATTGTATACCCAAAAAACAACGTTTCGTAATAAATTACATAATAATAATTTCAAACGTTTTGGGCCTCTTGGAGAGAATTTAACAAAAAATGACTAAGAACAAAATTGTTTCATTTTGAAGCATAAAATCCAAATCTGTAGTAAAAAATGGAGGTCTCCATTTAAAAAAATTGATTTGGACCCTACTGAGCCCAACATAAACCCCGGACACAAACTCTAATAAGATCATTTATTGGCCCCCTTTAAACCTTCCAACTTTTATATGAAACATTTTTCTTTAAAATGCATTGTTTAAGAGATATTTAAAGTCGTCATTTAAAATAGAACTCTCTCTCTCTCTCT